AATAAATGTTGCTCCATCTTAAAGCAGGTGATGGAAATTTACTACTAATCACAGAACCAGCTTTACTGACAAGATGTGCATGACAATCACATTCGATTAATCATGCAGCCCTACAAGCTATGCAAAACTGCGTTCATAATTGCAGACCGATTTAATCGTGCGATTTATGAAATGAAGAAATCGTTCTGCGATTATAAAAGATGTTTGCGTAGCTTGTCAGTGAACTACGGCTCTGTGTAGTAAATGCTACTCCATCTGAAAGCAGTGAAAATACCACATTTATTAACATGTTTTTACTCCAAACTCACTCATAACGTCAATCGAGTGTTTGAAATAAACCCCTCTGTGAGATGATGTGGCTTCTTACACAGAATAAGGCATGCATATTTCATAGTATTCTAAGCACTGTAGGGCTGCACGATATATCGTTCAGCATCGATATTGTGATATGCGCATCCGCCATAGTCACATGTGCAATGTTTAGTATACTGATCGTTATATTTATACTGATTGTTTTCTTTGAACATACAGACATATGTCTACACCGGACGTGACACGCCCAGTGCTGCAACAGCTAAAGTCTGTCTACACTAGTTCTTCATAAAACTTGGCAGCAGTTTACTGTCGGGGATTTCTCGTGTCGTGCCACGCCGCATCTAGTGTAGACAGCATTATAATGGGTTCTATAGTATTTTGTTGCTTCGCGCTGCGCTGCTCGTGTCTGGTTTACGCAGATGCAGCACACAAACACCGAATGCCGTTCACTTCCGCGTCTATTTGTGCCTGAAATTACACATACGCACGAAATTGTCAAAATGCATGTCTCTGCAAGTATCCTTGTAAACACAGTTGCTTATGGTTTAGGTAAAGGTAAACAGTGACAAAGAAAATGGATGTGTAACAGTATATTGGTTCACAGCAGTTTAATGTTCCTGAAGCTTTCTGTGTCATGAATGTTAATCAAACAACAAAACAGAGAAAAATCACTTTTGTAACTTTAACATATTTATTAGATTTAATTTAATTTATTTTCTATGCTGATTTACTCACCTACAAAATCACCCCAATCATTGATCCCCCCCCCCAAATAGAGCTATTCAAGTCTAGTTTTTTTTGTCTTCATATCGCACAAAAACAAAATATCGCAGTGTGAGTTTTTTTTCCAATATCATGCAGCCCCACTAAGCAGTGATAAAGGCTATGTCGATTAGCATTGCATTATGATATACTTTATTATGATGAAAATTATAATAAGATGAACTCGGATAAACCATATATTGTTTTGAACATACAGATCTGAGTCGTGTGTTTATTAGTCATGTTGAATCAATGAAAGCAGTTAAATCTTCTGTTTATTCAGCAACCGCTATAGGGATTTCCTGGATTTCTTGTACAGGGCGTATTTGGAGTTTCAGCATGAAAGCGACCTCTGGCCTTCGGATGAAGATTTACTACTGATCACAGAACCGTGCTTCACTGAAAGATGCGCATGACAATCGCAGCTTTTGCCTAATTGCAATTGCAATTTAATTTTGATTAATTGTGCAGCCCTAGCATCCATTAGGGCTTTTAGTCCAAAAGTGCACATACTTGGAGAAATATTATTGACTCATTTACTTAATATTAGAGATTTTGGGTATTTTCATAACAGTAGAGAGTGTTTACATGAGAAATGCTAAGCAGTTAGAGCGATTAGCTGGATACTAAAGGCCACAAATAAAATATTTCAACATTGTATGACCACATTAGATTGCAACCATAATATATTACTAGTGCTGTCAAAATTAGCTCGTTAACGCAGGCAATTCATTTTTTCAGTTTAACGCGTTAAAAATATTTAACGCCGTTAATGCAGGGGTTGGTCACTGCACTCACAGCTGTTGTTTCGGTCTCTTTTTTTCCTTGAGAAAATACTGTAAAAAATACAGTTATTTAGTCGCAAAACGTCTTTACGAGCACATCAAATGGGAGACATTTCAGACATGCACATGCATCCAACTTAACTTCAGCACCAGGCACAAGTCAAACAAGCGCGGAAACAGTACTGTGCTCGCAGCATGTGCCACCGTGCGCTGTAGCCGGTATCATTTCATATCAAAGCGTGAAATAAACTGTGCATGCAATGTTGTGGTCAGTTAAGTTATGAAGTTACCAAAAAGGCGATTAAAGCTGCCTTAAAACTGTGCATGTATGTAATATATCATAGTTGAGTCACATGTAAGAACATGTCTCTGAAATGGTTTTAAAAACTGGAGCAGCCAGCACCCTCATCTAACACTCGACTCAACTTGCCAGTTCATTAGTAGAGACTTTAAGACCTGTAGTGGGTCAGAAAAGGTAAAGAGAATTGAGAGAAAATACAATGCGTGTCAGATATGCATCATGTTCAGCAGCGACAGCTCTTAAAGAAATAGCAGTCAAAACAACCTAATAACCAGCTGCTGTGATGTCTGTTAATCAAAGGTGGGAAAAAGAGGAAATCAATAACTTTTATAGCTTTAATTAAGGATTCATCTATATTTAATTTAGAATTTAGTGTTTGATAACTTCAATTTCAATTCTGATGAAGGGCACAGGTAAATATGACATTTATTATAATGGGTTTATGTGAAGATTGTTTTAAATTAACTTAAATTAAAGTTATTTTTTAAAGTCTAATAAATGTTAAAATTGATAGCTCTCAATTATACTGTAATGTTGAATCGCTAGTCGATAGTTTAAAAATTAGGAGGGAAAACAATTTTATAGAGACATCAGTAGTATCGGTATCAGAGACTGGCCTTCAGTCATAAAAAAAGATGCCAAATATACTTTGTTGTTTGTACATTCATTTGAAGATTGAATGTGAAATTATTGCAATATAAAAGTGTATTTTTAAAACTTTAATGTTAGGTGGGATTAATCGGGATTAATTTCAGAAAAAAATTAATTTTTTTTTATTTTTTTTTTTAATCGATTTACAGCACTAGTTATTACACACTTGATGGTGGTTTAAAGTGAATTTTGAGTAACAGCATAGTGTGAATCTCATAAATTGTCTAATGTAGCATGATGCTAATTGTAGCTCTAATGCATCAGTTACCCTGCTTTCACTATATTTTATGAAGTAAGACAATGTTTTGTTTGGGCCAGGAGACATTGTTACCAGTGTTTTATTTATTTATTTATTTTTTGACAACACTACTACACTGAGGCAAAGGGATAAGAACACTTCTCTCGCAAGGTTCACCTGTCTTCGAATGCTGCGTTCAAGTCCTCCTGGGACGTTCGTACTTACGAGTTGACAAGTCGTAATTACGACGTCAGGTGCGTTCAAGTCAGTTTAGTCGGCACAAGAAAATTTTAATAAATTACAAGAAAATACAACAGGGTCTGCATTATTTTACTTGGATTTCAGCTGCTTAACAAGAACATGACCAATTTAAATTTGTAGGACAACTAAACTATCAATTTAAACAAAAATTTACCGTCAACTACAGACGTTGCATCCATCGATTTCTGCCATGTTTCTCATTGACACGCCCCCAACTCGGAAACTCGGGGCTTAAAGAAAATTTCGAGTTTCCCACTCGTAATAACGACTTTGTGGTGGCGTTCATGTGAATTCAACTCGTAAATACGATCTATCCGACATGACTTGAACGCACCATAAAAAACAACTGTCTCAGCTCCTGCAGCCTTGTTCTCACTCAACTTCAAGACCAAACCTATTTTCCTTTTGATAGAGGGCAATGCTAACATGGGAGGACCAATGCTTCCAGACAAATAAAAAAAATATTTTTTTTACAGGAAAATTAGTTTTGCAAAACTTTCTTCCTACTGACAGCATGTCATTATAAGTGTGAAATTTTGTCATGATATTATGAATTATCAGTAAATCTTTGTTGCCCCCCTCCCTGAGGGCCTCTGTTACTTTGTTCCACTATTACCCCTTGTCCGACGCCCCTGACTTTGATGAATGTTTATTATGATTATGGTAAGAGACTATATGAGAGAGCAGAAGTATGTTACGTATGCATAAACGAAACAAACATTTGTCAAATGCAGAATTTGTTCATTGTCCAGAAGTAATGATAAAAACAATAAAATGCACTTCATGTTACTTTAGATTTGAGAATAATAAAGATGGAGTGAAGTTAAATTACTTGGCTATTAAACTTCTCCATCTTTTTTCAGTGGGAGGCGGTAAAGCGCCTAAAGCTGGTCTGCCAACTGCCAATAAACAGAAGAGAATAAGACAACGTCACCACTAGCACCCTCACACTCACTTTTTCTCAGCATTGAGTCTTCTGAGGTAAGTTGAGCTGTTCAGTCACTGTGTTTCGTATTGTATTTCTACAATCCAAAAACGACTATTTAAGTAACATGTTTGAGGTCATTTCTGTATCGTTTTCCCTTCGAGTAAACCACCATTTGTGTCTTTTCTGGCATCTGCTCACTGAAACAACAGTGTGAGGATCTAATGTTAAATTCACTAATGAGCGTCTTTGTGTTTTTGTGCTGGTATGAATTATAGTTTCGGTGTTTGGAATGATAATATGACTGTCAAACCTGGATTTGGGAATTTCATATTTTATTATTTTGCATTTGACATGTACCTTTGTGTAATAAATCAGTTTTAGTTACTTTACGTTGTTAAATTAAAATATGTATTGGAAGGGTTAGTGCTAAAATATTTCATATTGAGTCTGCAAATTAAATAAGACTTTTTAAATCCATCACAAGCTGGAAACATTAAAATAATGCCCTGTCAATGCTCTGTTGTGTGAACTACTTGTATGTTATTAGAAAAGCGAGCTATATTCATAATGATATATTACTACTATATGGACAATGTTTAGCTTAAATTATTGTACTGTATTTTTACAACTACTGTAAAGATGGGTGCCATTTGTATTTGTTTTGATGTTTTATTGGTTTAACAATGTTTTATTGATGTCTTACTCATCTCAGTTTGTGAGGAATAATAGTTTAACAGTATAATAATAGGAATTTTTGGCATATATTTCCTGTCTCAAATAGTCTGTTTCTACCACAAACACTTAAAGGGATATTTCACCCAAAAATGAAAATTACCTGATGACTTTTTATCTTTAATTTTAGACCTGATGGAGGAGAAAGAGGAAGGTAAATAACCAAATTAGGTGGAAGAGAAACATCATCATGTCAAAACTGAAGAAATCGTTTTGTTGCTCACTGAAAAGAAGAGCCAAAGAATCTTTCACCTGCCCTCAGTGTGGAAAGAGTTTCCCATCCAAAAAAAGTCTTAAACCTCACATGAAAATCCACACTGGAGAGAAACCGCACACATGTGATCAGTGCAGGAAGAGTTTTGCACGAGCAGACACACTTAAATTACATCTGCATTCTCATTCTGGAGAAGGACCGTTTAACTCTGATCAATGTGGCAAAAAAAATCTTAGGGCAGAAAACCTGAAGAGGCACCTGAAAGTTCATACAAAGAAGAAGCTTCACGTGTGTTCTCTGTGTGGAAAGAGTTTTACCCGGCTGGATAATTTAAAATTACACTGGAAAAGACACAACGGTGTGAAGGATCACATTTGCTTTGATTGTGGGAGGAGCTTTACTAGATCTGATGCATTGAAAGGGCACCAAAGAGTTCACACTGGAGAAAAACCTTACAAGTGTTCACACTGTGACAAGAGATTCAGTCAGACTGGGACTCTGAAAATACATGTGAGGACCCACACTGGAGAGAAGCCTTACAAATGTGATCAATGTGGTAAATGTTTTACACAAAAAGGAAGCTTTAATGATCACCTGAAAATCCACACTGGAGAGAAGCCTTACAAATGTGATCAATGTGGTAAATGTTTTACACAAAAAGGAAGCTTTAATGATCACCTGAAAATCCACACTGGAGAGAAGCCGCACACATGTGATCAGTGCGGGAAGAGTTTTGCACAAACAAAAACTCTTAAATTACATCTGCGTTCTCATTCTGGAGAAAGACCATATAACTGTGATCAGTGTGGCAAAAAATTTCTTCGGCCACAAAACCTGAAGAGGCACCTGAATGTTCATACAAAGCAGAAACCTTGCATTTGTTTGTGTGGAAAGAGTTTTTCTCGAATGGATTATTTAAAATTACACCAGAGAAGTCACAGTGGTGCAAAGGATCATATGTGCTTTGATTGTGGAAACACTTATACAACAGCAGCTGTATTGAATCGGCACCAGAGAATTCACACTGGAGAAAAACCTTACAAGTGTTCACACTGTGACATGAGATTCAGTCAGACTGGAAATCTGAAGAATCATGAGATGATCCACACCGGAGAGAAGCCGCACACGTGTGTTCAGTGCGGGAATAGTTTTACACTAAAAGGAGCCCTTAAGTCACACATGAAAATCCACACTGGAGAGAAACCATACTCATGTGATCAGTGCGGGAAGAGTTTCAGACATGCATACACTCTTAAAATACATCTGCGTTCTCACTCTGGAGAAAGACCATATAACTGTGATCAATGTGGTAAAAAATTTCCTAGGGCAGAACACCTGAAGGTCCACCTGAAAGTCCATACAAAGGAGAAGCCTTACATGTGTTCTTCATGTGGAAAGAGTTTTAGTCAGCTGGGTAATTTAAAAATTCACCAGAAAAGACACAGTGGTGTGAAGGATCACATGTGCTTTGAATGTGGGAAGACCTTTACTGCAGCTGTGACATTGAGAAAGCACCAGAGATTTCACACTGGAGAAAAAACACATGAGAAGGCCCAAAGTGGAGAGAAGCCTTTTACATGTGATCAGTGTGGGAAAAGTTTCACTCAGTTAGGATCGCTACACCGTCATACTAAAAACAGCTGTCTGAAATTAAAGTAGTTCAAGCTCATTTAAAGTGTGTTGCTGCGTCCTCACCAAATATGACCCAATAACACATTGAGTAATAAAAGCTCTCTTTCATATAAATCTGTCCCAACCAGCCTCATTAAAACATCATTAGTATAAGTTGTTACATTGAACAAATTTCATCTTTAAGACCAGCTTCAAGAAATATTTATACAAATATTTTCTGCAGGAAAGCTGATGTTTTTTTTTGGTTTTGGTTTTTGGTTTGGACTAAAGCTGAATGTAATTATTGTGGACAGAGTTTCACATGGACATAATGTCTGAAAATTCATCTGTATTTTCACTCTGGTCTTTCATCAGATTTTTGTAGTTGCTTAAGCAATTAATTTATTAAATCAATTTCTTATGTTATCAACTTTTAATTGACAGTTTAACTAACATTTTCAGCGTCATTGCTTTAATGTTTTCTGGTGTCTGCTGATTGAAAAAAAAAGGTTTAAAAAGGTGTCATCATTGCCAGTTTCACATTCAAAAGAGAAAGAATTTAATAATCTAATTTCTTTATTGATAGTTATTAGAAAATGTAACCATATTTCATAAGAAAATATTATGCTGTTGTATGGTAATTGTAGCATTTAATAAAACTTTTCGATGATGATGGTTTTTTGCTGATGATCATGTGTAAGGTTTGTTTAAGGATTGAGAGTATTAACAGAGCTGCTAAAAAGCTTCAATAGTTCCTGTTTTTTTTTTCCTGTTGATTATGCTGATTTGTTTTAATCACCTGTAATCTGCCACTTTAAAGGGGTCATATTACATTGCTAAAAAGAACATTATTTTGTGTATTTGGTGTAATGCAATGTGTTTATGCGTGTCACGAATCCGGTCCGTGGTCTTCCGTCTGCTCGCCACCAGAGGTCGCCTTCTGATTACATTGACTCTCACACCACACAAGCTGTTGCACATCACCCTGGACTACATTTCCCATGCTCCATTGCACTGAATGGACTCACCTGCAGCCAATCACACACACTATATAACAACCACTCAAATCCTTCTCTAATCGCAGAGTATTGTCTGCGTTTACCACTCTCCTAGTGATAGCAACTTTACGGAGCCATTCCGTGTTTCTGGAGTTTAGTTCCAGTCAGTCCTGTTAGTTTCCTGGTTAACCTGTGTCTTGATTCTAGCCTGGTTTACCTCGTCCTGTCTGATCTCTGCCTGCCTGATTATCACCTGTCTGTTGGATTACCCGTTTGCCTTGCCCCCTGGATCACTTTCTCTGCCAATCGACCCCTGTCTGTTTACTGGACTGCTCGTGTGTCTTGCCTGTACCATACCTGTTTGCTGGTGTTCGACCCTGCCTGTGTTTTGACCGTGTATATGAATAAAAGCTTGCATATGGATCAGCACACCTCTCGTCTTGTTCACCCTGTTACAATGCGGTTTAAGGTAAAAAAAAAACACATTATTTTCCACAATGTATATTATTGTTGCTCCTCTATGCCCCGCCTTTCTGAAACGCATTGATTTTTACAAAGCTCATAGTTCAGAAAAGCGAGGTGTGCTCTGACTGGCCAGCGTAAACATAAAACCATGTCTGCATTTGTGATCGGAGAAACGACAAACAACAAGCGCTACTCTACACTGCTTAAAACTTGCGTTTGAATCATCAGTGGCAAATTATTTAAATATGTAAACGTACTTACAGACTGTGAGTCAGAAGTGCCAGACTGTCCTTGCAAAGTTGGAACTGCCCCACTTTATAGAAACAGACACCGGCATTGTAGGCTACTCTCACAGGAAACAGTCCTCGTCCTCCGCAAAATGCACTGCACACATCTGATTATTTGGGTTGAACTGTTCCGGAACAGTGTTGAACCACTGATTTCTAGTTGTGTCCTCTTTTGGAAGGCCAAACAAAGTAGTTTCGCTTTCACAACGAAACACACACCGTCTCCACAACATGGCGGCGGCAACAGTGAGAATAAAAGTTACACCTTCTTTCTTTGCGTGAACATTTGGGCGGCGTTATGCAAATCTTCCCACATAGTGAGGTAGGTATGTGGGGGCGTGTTAGAACGAGCCGTTTTAGGTAGGCGTGGTTGACTCTTAACTTTTATAAAGAATATCTCTTTGGATTTGAGACTTTATTCTTTGCAACTTTACAGATCTTCTTTATGCACCAAGAGCTTGTAACACTCCAAAGAGAAAGGAAAACTTGAAATGGCATCATATGACCCCTTTAAGCTAATTTTTATTTGTCATCAGAATGAAACAAACCACACCATCCATATAAATCAGCATTTCATTGTATTTTGTGATAAACCGTGTTTCATTCAACAAAAAAAAAAGATAATAAAAACAGTGGACAAAAACTGGTATGACTAGGTAAGTGAAGTTTAGTTAAAGTGACGTGTTATTTGTTTTACAAATCATTTCTGTTTTTGTTTTTTTCCCTACTTTAAAAAATATATATATTTTTATTGTGGTTATGTATAATATTTTTCTATATTACTTTGTTCATATGTCCATACTGAACATAAAATAATGAAAATATATCAAATCATTTTAAAATTAGGAAAAAGTCATAACATTTTAGAAAATAAAATAAAGCCTCAGATAAACAACAACGCATGACATATCAAACCGTATCATTTATTTAAGCTCTCAGAGTATTGTATGGTCTGACCTGAATTTACTGGGACGTCTACTCCTGGGAAGACTGGTGTCTGTCTTGAATGTATTCCACTTGTGAATAATCCTCCTCACTTCCTATGTTAAAAGTAAGGGTGTCCATAGTTAGGTCCTGACTTGAAATGTAGAGGAGATACAGCTTTTTCCGTGGCAGCTCCTAGACTATGGAATGAGCTTCCACTGTCCTTAAAAAACATCTCCTACTCTAGGGTAATTTCAAAGGATGTTAAAAAGGCATTTATTTTCTTTAGCTTTTAATAATGTGTTGTATAATTGTATGTATTTGGGTTTTATGTTTGTCGTCTTCTTTTTTTTTCACGTATACAGCACTTTGGTGCAAATTGTGGTTTTTGAAAGTGCTTTAGAAATAAAGTTGAGTTGAGGTCACCCATTTTGGCTGAGTACTGAGTTGTACTGAGTTTGTACAGCGGGACATTAAATTATTTCGATCCGTAAACAAAAACTTCTAGCTTAACATCACTTTCTCTTCAGTTAGGCATGCCAAATCCCTCCGAGATCATATTTACTCTCATAGCTGTAATAATTCAATAAAGAGATCGATAAACGAACAAGTCAGTCAGTAAAACGGAATGACCGATATTTTTTTCAATTCCGCGAGCGTGCAGCTGTCTGGAAGACGCCGTTAACATATTACACCTCCTTTGCGTGCTCCAGTTCAGACAGCTCAAATGTAGACGTGTGGCAAGCACCACAAATTTTCCCTGCGAAAACATGAAAACATCTCAACTTTTCAGAATGCCGCAAGTACAACTTCAATACAAAGCAGCAGGGTGGTCTTGTTTTTACTCATAGCTGACCTTGACAGATTGAAGAAATGAGCCTGAAAAAGATTTGCATGTCAAAAAATGTGAATCTGTTACGCAAAACGTATGTAACCGGCATGGACCAATCCCTGGTGAAAAAAACAGCATATGCTGGTTAGGTAGGTTTTGAAGCTTGGATGCTGGTTTAAGCTGGTCATGAGCTGGTCCTGAGTTGGAGGGACCAGCTCAAACCAGCATCCAAGCTTCAAAACCTACCTAACCAGCATATGCAGTTTTTTTTAACAGGGATGGCAGTTTGTAGGGGTTTAACAGCCGTTGCAAACTTTTGGAGCAACCTAAATAAACTCCAAACAGACTTTTTGTCCAGATTTCAGAAGGACATCATTTGTTTGTTCATCAGTTTCACATATCGAAGTATATCAGGACCTTAACACATTTAAGTAAGACAGTTGTCTGATATTTCATTTAAACTTGTTCTTTGTTTGTAAATCAAGAGAGATTTGTCTCCAAAACTTTGTGTCCATGAACTTATCAATTAATCTTGTTAGGCTACTTATTTTATCAACAACTTTATTTCTTTTGAATGTGCTTGTACCAAGAATAATTTCATAACGTTTGTTATCTGAGCAATGATTACATATATCATGACTACCTTTGGGGCTTTCTGTGTTTTAAATATTTTAAATGCGTAATAAATTCTATTTTACCCCCAAACACAACTGAGATTGAATGAGGTGTCTGGGATTGCAGTGGAATTGTCTGCCTAAATTTGTAACTGTTTTAATCTTGATATCCAGTATCACAGACCCAGTAGCTTCTGAGGATATGGCAAGAGTACTGTAAATGAAGAATTACTAATCAATCGTCTTGTGATCGCTGCTGATCACATTTGGTTTCAGTTAAGGTGCATAGCAATATTAATCTAACAGATGAAACGAGTTAAAATAGAGAATCAGTTAGAAGAGAAAATCCTGAAGTATTAGAGAAATGTAGCACAACGCTCATGAAATATTCCCAAGCTATTGCTTGGCAAAGAAGAGGATATGCAATGCATTATTAAATATCTATCTGATGATGCTCAGAACTGAGGTGACGCTGACCTCTGTTGGTGAAAATGAGTTATTGGTTGTGGTTATGACATGACAAGTCTGCAATATTATCGGATCTTTAAAAAGCTGGAGCATAGACATTAAGCTGATGTATAAAATAATATTTCTAAAGACGTTTTTATTTGACACCGTTTTTATACTTGACCCTCAAAGTGGTACAAATGAAATGAAAGAAGCCAAACAGACATGCAAGAAAATTGGTATGATAGTTTGTTTTAAAAAGTTATTTAGTGTGTTTAGCTCCAAAACACTAATAATGGTAAATTAGCATAGTTGGTGTTGCTTACAAGCATCATAAATGCACTGCATTTGTGAAAAAATAAGTTTTTTTTTTTCCAAATGAGAGCAAAGTTATGGGGAAGTCGTGGCCTAATGGTTAGAGAGTCATGACTACCTTTGGGGCTTTCTGTGTTTTAAATATTTTAAATGCCTAATAAATTATATTTTACCCCCAAACACAACTCCGGTCCAGCAGGAATTGTAGGTGGGGGGAGTGAATAACCAGCGCTCTCTTCCACCTTCAATACCACGACTGAGGTGCCCTTGAGCAAGGCACCGAACCCCCAACTGCTCCCAGGGCGCCGCAGCATAAATGGCTG